TAGCTATGTAGCCGTGTAATACTTCCGTTCAAATTTGCCATGCTGGATAAAAAGTGAAGCTTTTGGCGGCGATCAATCCCTTTCTGAGATACGCCACGCACCCTATTTTCATCGTGGTGGCATTTTGAATGCGACATGGCCCATCGAATGACGTACGGCCCCATCAGTGTTGAGGTGAGTGAATTCCATCCTTCTACACAATTCAGGTAACAGTCAGTTGACCTCGAGAGATGGAAGGCTAGGTTGGGGGAGGAGCATTTAATAAATGTCGTTTGCAAAAGTGCTGAGGGAAGCGACACGTCATCAAATGCCTTATCAATAACACCAGTGCCGAGTTTAGCTGTTTTCGAAGATCTGTCTGCTGTTCACCATCAGCAGGTGGTCTGACCTTGACTTTGGCCTCCTATGGAAAACAGCCCTTCTGATTCACTGTCAGCTGAAACGCCTGACCTTCGACTGGGGACTGATTGTAGGTGGAACTCGATCCTTCCATAGGTTAACAGTAGATGTGGCTTTACTTTTTTGTTTTACGTGGGTTTATTCGATTCCCTTTAGCCGTTCCTTATTTCCATCGTCATTACATATGTAAAAAACTCATACCCTTTGAGGAAACAGGGCGGCGCGTAGCGTCACCCACATGTGTGCGGTCCCAGCGCGTGTTTAACCACAGTAACCTACTCAACCGGCTGAATTCTTATAAGTCCTTATGTTTCTTGATCATTACACTTAAAGTTGAAGTAACGTAGCCCTAGCTGTACGACAAAGACAGTTGCTCAACATCAGGAACTTAATTTTGGGAAGCAAGGCACTGTGTGCATCTTCACTGTGACACCTGTTCATGGGCTATTTGTAGAACTGGGTCAAAGATTGGGGTTTACGCAGGCCAAAGGGCCTAATCTGTCCGAACCGCGGAGGAAATTGAAAAATTTGATCGTCTGTAGTCTCCTAAAATGTAATTCTGATATTCACAAACCCCTCCAACCGAACAGCTCCCAGTAACAGGGCACGTTCTGCGCTGAGGAATCCCTGGCGAAGGGGCCCCTATTTGGTCCCAGAAAAATTCTCCCGATTGTTGCTTCTTACGTTGTTTCCCCTCTAATATGTGCTACATAGCTCTCTCCGCTCCACAGAGGTTTTTTTGGAAGGGGGACCAAAACTGGAAAATTTGAAAATTTTTGGAAACTCGGGAAAGAAGAGGTAGAAAGCTGGAAGAAGCTAGCAAAGTCAGTAGTATGGCAGAAGGACTGGCCACGGAGTAGGAAAATTCGGAGGGATCGTATTTTGCAAAAATTACCCCTGCAATAGGACGTTCCTCTCTCCCCAATGGTTGGTTGGCTTAGTCGGCGGGTATTGTGTTCGGTACGTGAGTACACGCACCATCCTGGAAACGGTGACGTCATTCCATTTTTCGTCATAGATTTTCAACCACCCACCGAAAGGTTTCAGCTTAGCTGAGTGTTTATTATTTAGGCTTTCTGAACTGATCTCATATTTAATCACATACTGTCGTTTTCTTAACTTGTTTTATGCTGATTTATGTATCGCCTGTCTCGTAGCCAGCGATTCATTGTTCGGCAACTTTTAATGGCGCAGTGGACTCTCTACTGGTCTTCGGCGTTCCCTCTTCGCATTCATTATCTTTGCTTTGTAAACGATATCTCACGTCGTTACTAATGGAGGAAAATTTTCTGGTACTGAGTTTGCAGTGATTATTCGCGCCCAGAGCGGGCGGCGGGAGGGCTGGAGGGCGGCCCCACAGTTTCTCCGAGGCTCACACAGGTGTTGTGGGGTCGAAATCAGCGTTCTTGGCGAAATGCTAGCATTTCAATCAAGTCAGCGTTTTGGGAGAATTGGCGTTCTGAGCGAATCGGCGTTTTCGACACCGGTCGATACCTGTGCTTTCCTTTTCGCAGGAGACGCTAATCCAGTCGAAGCGTTGGTTCTTCCAAAACCGCAGATCGATATCTGTGCGTTTCTTTTCACTCGGGACGCCTATTCGCCAAGAACACTGATTCTCCCTAAATGCCAAGTCGCAAAGTACGAACGCAGCCTCACATTCCATTCCTCTACGTCACTTTTCAAGAAGTTGATAGGTTCGAGGGTGTGAGACTAATATGCTTCCTATAAAACCAGATCGCCCTGAATGTGGGACAGATACGTAAACAAATGGCCTTGTCAGCTAAAAAAATAAATCAAGACTAGGCGCCTAGGGATAGCGACTTGCCTTCAGGCTTTTTATTCCAATTGATTCGAATTTGAAGTGGGAGAGAATTTGATTTTTGCGCGCTGGCAGTGTTGCTTCCCTTCTAAAGTGTTTTATGTCCCGCGGGCCAAGCTGCCAACGTTGAATGTGACATTTCTCGCCATTTTCAATTTTCCAACTTTTGCATATTGATCGACGAATTTCTGTAGTCAGCGCACGCCATGGCCATGACAAAAATTTGGTGACAATAAAAGGGGATTCAACGCGCTCTTCACCTCCGTTTCAAGTGCGATGCTACCCTTTCCATAAATAAATACAACTCATCCATATGTCCAATTCACTGTACCACAAATTTCATAGGAGAAACTCTTTTGAGCAAAATTCGACCCTTTTCCTTGCTGCGAGTTGGGCGGAGGTGGTGTAGTGCCACGTGGCATGCTCACTACGCGGGCGGGTCCGGGGATAAATCCTGGATCTGCTCCTCCCCCCCCCCTCCTCCCCCCGGATCACCCACGCTCTCTACCCTCCTGGTACGGTAAAGTGGTACCAGATCGGTTTGGGAAGGTGAAGGATTAACGGTAAAGACTTTATCTCTTATCCTTCACCCTTGCTGCGACTCAAATAGGACCCTTTCCTCATTGAGGATTCCTCTGTCCACAGCGTGCCTCGATTAAAGTGGATTATGGAGCAGCGACAGTTTCTTTTTCACCACTCAGAGCTCGCTTCATTTGGCAGCGACTGTTGAAAAACGAGCTGGTGCCGTGCCGCCCCTTCAACTCGGTTGTTGAAGACTGTAATGCCTTACCCCAAAAGTGTTTGAAAAACCAGATTCTCAGATCGTATTTTCAAGGTACGTCCTGTTAGATAAGCCAGAACTGGTTTTTGGAAGCATTATCGAGGGTACTGAGGCAGTTTCTCACAATAGGAGAATTTGATCCTCCATCATTTGTGTTCTAAAGTGGGACTCCCCACGGTTCTTGAATCTTTTCAACCATTATCCTGGGCCGGACGAGACCATTTGTGATCAGTAAGCATTAAAAACAAGCGAAGTGTTGACGTTCTGCAACGGGTTCTAATCCTCTAGGGATCCTGAGTACATGTGAGGAGGAGGATGCTTGCGGTCCCACGAGGACAAAAAAACGTCTGGTCGCCTAAGTACATCATGTTCCGTGCTCTTTCAAGTGCCACAGGGCACATCATTGGTTGGGATTTTGGTAGAACTCGTACGACTCCCACCACAAGGAGGGGACTTGGTACGGCCCTTGTCCCCCTCTCTGATACAAAGCTGGCGAGCAGGTGGGGGGGGGGGAGTAGGTAGCACATGTGAGACAGGAAATGGTCAGCAGGTGAACAACCGGGAAAGTTTCTCAACGCCGCAAATTTTCACAATCAAAGACCCCCTCTCTCTCCCAAGAACGAGCAAATGTGACCCCCTCTCCCAACTACAAGCAAATACGACTCCCCCTTCTAGCGTCCGTTAAGCAAGAAAAATCAACTATCAAAAGAACTTTTCACACCAAATACCACCCTCCCCCTGTGGGGGAGCCCCCAACGATGATGTGCTCTGAAGGGCCGCAAACATTGTGCAACAAACTGGTCGCTAACGAGTTTTGCAGAATGGGTTTTTTTCAGCGAGATCCGATACACGATAGTTGACGTATCCATTAACCGTTATCCGTTAACTCGTCCTCCCATTTCGTTCACTTTCACGTTTTCATTTCTAAGAAAATATTGCCAATCCAGCCCGTGGGACAAACATTTGCTTTTAGTGTAAACATTTGTGAGATCACCCTTCTAGTTGCGGGAGGAACTTTTTTTGCACAAAGGCTCTGGTTCGTCCACTGCGGAGCTTCTCCTCTCGCCCTAAACTTATGCAAAAATCCTCTTCTATGTAGCTCTTCGCACTTTCAGCTGCAGATGCTCGGAAAGACCTAATAGATGGCGTAGAAAGGATGCCAGTAGTATTCCACTGGATATCTGGTACAACTGTAAAGTGCACAAATTATCGCACCACCCTCCCCCCCCCTTTACGAAGTTCACGTTTCTCTCATCGGCCATTTGGCATTTGGCGCGATTACACTGTGGTCTGTGAACGGATCAAGAGAACCCGTACGACGCGTCACAGAGATAGAAAAATTTGCTCGAGTCCCTAAATTATCCCAGATTGGGAGATCCCGTCTGAGAAGTAGTAGCACCAGCTCACGTTGTTTACTGTTTATGTACGCAGCAGGTTCATGAAAACCTAGCAGATTAGTGATTCGGACGAGTTATCCTACCCGGAATAAACGTCACTCAATGCAAGTCAGTGTAATCTCTTCCCCTCTCAACTATGATTTTTTTTCTAATACCCTGGAAGCTCGTACAAAAATACTACGTCGAAATGTGTCTCTCATTTTCGCTCAGATGAAACTTGTAAACCGGTTGTTTTTTAGGCAAATAAATGCCATCATACTCGGAACCGCCTACTCCCATACATGAGGTCGATTACTTGTGTACACAATTAGAGACGAGTTCATGTGACGACATTAACAACTTGAAACTTCTAGGGAAAGTTGGTTTTCTTTTTATTCCCTTTTAATTTGCTTTTCTTTCTTTATTCCCCGAACAACTGCGATTTTTACTATGACCGTTGCGCCAGCGTTTTGAGCGTACCCCAGTGCTTTGAACATTTCGCGGGTACTTTACTTTTCGCAACGATTGGTGAACAACTTACAGTGAATTGTTTCAGTCAAGGGTTCTAGCTACGGCGCGGTATAACTGTTTAAAACTAAGCGAGAAGAGATCGATAGGTTCCTGAAGGATCATGCTAATGAGGATCTCGGAAACTACATCAGTAAGTCCATCCCATTGTTTTCCACCTTTTCCGTTAGGTGCGTTCATACTTTGCGTCAACGTTTTGAGCGGCCAGTGCTTTGAGCCTTTCGCGGGTAGTTTGGAACTTATCGTGGGCAGTCGTCGAAAACGTTGGCGTTTGCTCAAAACGATGACCGCAAACTGTGAACGCAGCCTTTCATTTTCGCTCATTATTCGTTTTTTGCTTTTTTTAATGCCCATGCCATTCAAGAAGTTGTTCCCGTCACCTGATTCACAGTTTTTAGCGCTAGTTTAGTTGGGGAAAGGGGCGCTTAATATGGAATTGGACCTAGGCCATTTTATATTCCCCTGTTCATCTGCGTTTCCGACCTGCCTGGTGATCACATCATCCTTAGCTTCGGACAGTGGAATCAACGTAGAGTGGGCGTAGTCTGTCATGCCTCCCCCCCCCCCTCCCATCACGCTAGTATCCACCTTGCTCATGTGAAAACATATCCCTCTTATCTAATAACAGCTTCAGTTACGGATAGGCCGGCTAATTGCGCTCTGGATCCGCTCACCAAGTCCGCGTCATATCATGGATATTATCAGCCAAAGACCTTTAAATCTTCTTATGCATGATGCACTTTGATTCAGCGCTTAGTTAGTGACGATATGGCTGCTGGTTTGTGATTTCTTGCCGTATTCAGGCGAACTAAGATGTTTCGCGCGCTCGAATGGAGGGCTCGTACTCGACGAGTACCGTGCCAAAATATGGCCAGTACTGGCCCGACGACTTGTACAGTCTGATGAAGACGAAGATATTGATTATGATTCAATTTCATCTGTTTCTGATTCCATTTCGGTGAAGTCATCGTCGACTCAAGACACAACTGTAAGTTGGTTCAGTGGTTACCTTTTTATTATAAACTAGTTTCTCTCGTTCCATTTCTCCGTTTGATGCCTTGATTTCAGCACGAATCAGAAGATGAAGAAGAACTGAGATCACATCCAGAGTGGAATCAGGTATGCCATAATTGTTCTCATTCGGGCGTTTTTTTTTTTGTTAACATTAACAGTTTTTCGCCTAATCGCTTGAAAGAGTGGTAGTGTACCTTCAAGAAAATGTTTTCTTTTTGGTTTTTTTTTTCGTTTCAAATGCGTTATTAACCCCCCCCGCTCCTCTCCTCCTCCTCCTCCCTTCACTCCGCTCGACGGTAGCTTTTCCGGAATAGCTGGAGATCCTCTGGAAAATTGGTAGAAAGCTGGGGAGAAATGGAAAGATACATTAGGATGGAGTCGTACCAAAGGAAGAGGTTGCCGGGGGTTGTCGTATCTCACTAAAATTTCTCCTAACAGCAGGAGGTGCCCTGACGCGACGGCGCGACGAGGGCTGCTCGTCTGCGCTGCTATAGGAGCTAGCGCGCCTCGTGGGAACAGGAGAATGTGCACCAAAGGGAGTCATAAGTATAGATTTGGCGTTTTGTTAAGCTGGGAGGATCGCACCTTTTAGAGGATGTTGGTTCTCTTTTTCCCCGAATGCCGATTTGCTTTCTCTTCCAAAACTCTGACGGCCTGCACTGATTGGTACTTGTGCAGGCCTTGTGCGCGCTCCCTCCTAAAACATCGATTCCACGATTCTAATCTCCTATGGCACTCGGAAAACCCTTTATCAATGCCTATACTTTCCTTTCGCGCCCAATCTCCTCCTTGATTCTTCTGTACTCCCTATTCGCGTTCTTCTGATGTGAGCGCTGTCTTAAAATAGCGTTCACGATCGAAGTCGCCGCAGCTCAGTCTGCTCCATCTGGCGATCCCCACGCAGTACGTGAGGTCGCTCTCGTACTTTACGAATCGAGAAAATAAAATGTTTTACTGCCAAATCGCCCTACTTGAGAATTGCCCCAGACGCGATTGACGAATGCTGCCTCGGCTCCGCAATTTTTATGGAGATTGTTTTCTTGAGGATTAACTAGTTCAGAGTTCAGGTTGCACTCGATGTTCACAGGACGTTGGCAAGGTTCCCTCCTAACATATCGGACGAAAAACGAACAACTCTTCAGGATCAGCTCATTCCTTTGATTGTTCGAGTTTTGCGCAGTAATCCGCGATTTCGGTATTATCAAGGTAAGGACTTATGGTTAGTGTTGCTACGGCTTACTGTAAAGTACTGCATTAATTTCAAAGGCTTCCACGATGTTTGCTTAACGGTTATATTGGTATGTGGAAAGGATGTCGCCTATGAAGTATGCAAGAACCTTGCTACTCACGGACCATTTCGGAGTTATTTGTTGAAGAGTTTAGAGAAGAGCGTACTAAAGGAGTTAGAACTACTGTAAGTTTTATTTGTCATTATGGATTTGATTGAAATTTGAAATAAATTCAAAATAACTGTAATTATTAGTACGTATGGTCATAGCAGGGCGGAGGTGGGGTAGTGACAAGTGACACGCTTACCACTCGCGCGGCGCTGGGTTCGAATCCCACTCCGGCGGAGCCATGGGTATACGAAAATCAGGGCTGACTCCTGACCTCCACGACCAGATACCAACCCTCCCTCTACCACTCAGCGCGGGACGAGATAAACGGTACCACCAACCACCCCAACCCGCTAGTATGAGCAAAAGATAACCAATAGACTTAGCCTAACCAACCTAGACTGACCTTACACGATCGACGCCGCAAGTAAGAAAAATTGTATAAGGGCACATCGCATTCAAGACAGCCACTACCATTCTGAATGGAAGTAAAATGCGTGCCGCATCCCACCAAGGATTGATTAGCGGCGAAGACTTTATTCTTTATCCTTTTATTGTCACAGCTTGCTTTTTTCCTTTCCATAAACGAGAGGGGAAGAGGGAAAAATATGTAATTCCTTGAAGGGCAGGAGTGGTGGCCAGATGTAAATTGTATTCGTAGCACGATGCGGGCGCGAGAGGTGAACTCAGAGGTTCACTGGGCAAGACCGCATCAAATGTGAGCATGTGTTGACTGGTTGCGGCGGAGACTGGCTAGGGGCTAAGCGACGTATTTCTGTCTCTTCTTTCAACGTGGAGCCGTAAGTCTTTGGATGCAGGGTGGCGCATAAAATACAACAGTGGGTCGTATTCGGTCGCTGTAAAGGAAGAGGATGCATACTGCTGCAAGAAATTTTCGTTATTGTTGATCGATCCGTTTCACTCGCGCCATACCTTGCCCGAGTGCCTCCTAATTGGGGTCCACTTTTATTATAGCTGATGGAAATGTTAAACTCCCCTCCCAGCTTCTCGACGCCAAAAAGTTTTGGGAAAAGTTGGAAAGATGGCAGATAAGATGGGAAAGGGGGTTGTACCAGAAGAGCAGTATGGGTTGGCCGCAGGTCCTACACTGCAAAAAGTTTCCACAACATGGTATGTCCTGTCTGAGCATAAAAGGAACCTTTTCCTCATTGTGGCTGAGTTGTTTTCTTCACATTTTTTGTTGGCAGCAACATGTCCTATAGGAAATGGAATTGACTAATTGCTCAAAACCAGTACATTCATTTCCAAAAATGTTTTCAGGTATGTGATATTGTCCAGAGCAGACCCACAATTAGAACGAGTTCTGCGAGAAGTACATTTGGGTACTATGTTTGCTCTGAGCTGGCCACTTACATGGTTCAGCCACTCGCTCAATCATTATCAGCAGGTGTTTTATTCATTTATTTATTTATTTGTACGTTGGTCAGTCACCAGAAGATCGGTAGCCACAAACAGGGACTCTTATAAGCAGCATCAAGTGACATATATTCGAATTCAAGGAAAAACAATATCTAGTAAAACCAACACTAGGTCAGAAACCATGCTCAAATCCACCACAAATGAGAAATAAGAGCTAAATGATTCGAGGGACCGATGAGGCATCAGTAGCGCTAGAATGGTCCCGAGTGATCTGTGGCCTAGTCCTCGAATGTGTGGGGCGGATGTTAATGAGTAAGTGGTGCTAAAAATTACCCCTCACACGACGGGCACCATGGTACGACTGTGGTACCTGAAGCTTTATTTTTTGGATGTCAGGTATTCCCTTACCCTAACAGCCCAGCTCCAGGCTGACGACAAAGCAAAAGGTGAAGTGAAAGGTCATTGTACCCTAATTTTCATGTGACTCACGAGTTCTTCATGTCTCACTGTGTCTTACCGTTAGGGTTTCTTGAATAAGATTTGCAATCAGTTTTCATTCTCGTTCGGTACTTTAAGTCGGGAGGGCGTTGATTTTGCTTTTTATGTAAATAGTAGAGAATGCTTGAACTAGCGTCTCCAATATTTTTGTTTTGTCATTGAAAGAAAGCTAATGGCGAACTGTTCGCGATTTAGATTGTACGGTTTTTCGATGTGTTTCTCGCCTCTCCGCCATTGACTCCTATCTACGTGTGTGCTGCAGTGGTTTTGAAGAGGAAATCAGCAATACTAACATCTGAACGGTAAGTGTTTCTTGGTGTACCTGGGCATGTTGCCTTGGGGAAGCAATGAGGCCAAATTGAGAAGGATCGAGGTTAGAGGTCAGGAAGGTTTCCGCGTGTTTGCAATCCCTCCGCAGATCGCAGCCGCTTCTGGAGCTCAGTTTTTATCGTTGGCCAGCAGCTGACGAAAGGGGTCAAGGCGTCAAGAATACACGAGGCTTTACCTGCGCCCGACAAAAAAAAGAAAAGACGAGCGGAGTGTGGACGAGGCACTCCCTGTTCTAGTGTCTAGCAGTTTTGATAGAATCACAAGCAGATTGAAGAGGTAGTTATGTCCCTCGAGATAGGGTAGAGAGAAGGTAACCCTACAGTGTTTACCAGTTTTTTTTTCTAGCTGTTCTAATTCCAGGAGGAATCGTAGTGGCAGTTTTGAAGATAAGTCGGCCATTAGCTGCGGGTGGAAGGCTACCAGCAGCGTCATTTCCAGCAGAAATGCTCGCCCGCCCTCCCCGCCGCTGCTCGAAATTGCGTAGATTAGATACGCGGCCTTTTCTCTTCTCTACCACTTTTATGATCTCCACCTGGGGCACTTCGGCTTAGTGGGGACATTTTCCTGATTACTCGATTTCTGCTGGCGCCTGATGTGGAACTCTGTAAGTTCCTGTAAAGCTAAGCAGTAATAGCTTCATTTAGTTTTAACAAGAGTCTACAAGTTTCTCCAAGGTTAGACTTGCAAATTAAGAGGATCTAACAAATGAAACTAGCGGAAGTGTGAATGCCCCTCCCGTGTGAAACAGCTTCTCTCCACCTCTATCATATGTCCCATCATCGGCGTATAAGGTGTGTAGCAGTCTAAGGTCTCGACCATTTCCATGCGTTTTCGTGATACCATCGTATGGTTCTCTTGTCCACATTCGGTGTCTCTTTCTTACAATACTCAGAACTAGCAGATGTCTTATTCGGGGGCATCGGCGGGTTTTTCTCCTGGGACCGTGAGCATGGTGGGCGGCGCTTCTGTTTCTGCACCATCTCTGCCCCTAGCGCGTGTAAAACGAACCAACAAAAGAGGTCAAATACAGCTTCCTCTCCAGTGGCGAATTACTTTGTTTCGCACAGCCGTGTGCTCCTTGACTGTATCAATTCCCTTTTTTGTGAATGTGTGTAAGGCAGCGTTCAGACTTCGCGATGTCAGCGCTTCCGTCGCGCATTCGACGCAGTCGAAAGCTTGCGAAAGCGACCGTCGAATCGCGTGACTTAAGCGCTGCAGTCGCGAAGTCTGAACGCTGCCCAACCGTTCCATAGTTTCAATATGGTGACTTCTTCTCTTTACAGGGAGATGCCAATTATTCATCAACTTCTTATGAATATGCCAAACGAGATCCACTTGGATGCCATTTTGTCGGATTCATTATATCTCGCTTCACTTATGCCACCACTCGCTCTGAAAACAGAGTTCTCCCGGCTGTACAGGCAGCGCGTAAGTTTGGTTCCTGCATACTTTCATGAATTCATTTGAGCTGTAAAAGGCTACCAGAGTGCAGAGCCCCGGTCAACTTTAGATTAAGGCCCGAGCAATCAATCGAAGATGGGACACCAGTCTCGAGATACGCTATCACGATGGTTGCAGCAGTTGGAATAGCAGGAGCCGCTTACTATTTTAACCTAGGCAATAGATTTGCTTTTTCTCTATGAGAACGAGTTTGTCTTGAAGAAACAGTCCGCGATCATCAGATAGGCGAATACTCATCAACATTATGCATTCCCTTTTACACGTTTCCGTCCTTCATCGTATCAGAAGGATGGGCGCACCAATGAAAAAGACTCAGTGGCCGTGATTCTCCGCCCATTTGATCATCGCGAAGTCTGTCTTCAAAACTTTCTTCTATATTGATTAGATATCGATGACTCGCTCATGTGCAGGCTTTCTATATGGGTACATTTTGCGGAGTTTTCGTTTGCGAAGTTTTTGGTGATTTGTGAGATTTTTCTGATCATAGCGGCTTCCTTTACTCAGAGTTTTCTTGTAAGGTTACCTGGAAGTTCAACACAATTTGGGAACGTCAAGCATAATACTTAGCAACATTCACATGTAACTGGGTCACAACTAAGGTTTCGTGACCTTTTAGTAAAAACTAATAGTATGTTAAATGTAAGCAGCCAGAGCTCAACCAGCTTGTAGTTAACCCTTTCCCGCCTTATTGTGTTGAACTTACTGGTGATTTTGTGCAGCATGACTAATAGCCCTGGTCTTTTAGATTACCGACTTTCCAACTTTCATACGGGCTTACTTAAATCTGCCCGTAGACTCAACTTCATTGAAATTTTCCCATCTGGCTACTTCATTATCCATAGATCTATGGTAGAGACATTCCTTTCTAGTATTCTTGTTAAAGCTTTATCGCCGTGCCGTATCATGTGTAGAACTCCTGTGATAAACTTATTATTATTCAGTGTACAATGTCAAAAAGATGGATATTGATCCGGACGAGTTAGCGGCGACAGTGATCCTATCTTTCGCCTGTGGAACAGGCATAAAACCTACAGCCGATGACAGCATCATTATCACTATCGGTATTGTCAGCAGCAAAATTTTTTGGGTTTTC